TGTGATCGCGCGATGCGAGTCGCATCATGCGACTTTGTGTATATTAGAAAGATTTCATCACAACGTCTCTTTCTTAAAGCTCAGTCACACAACATAGGATTATCCTCCAGTTCGATCGGAGTCAGATGCCGGTCGCGGACTCCACAATCCCAGATTATCATGAGAAAAGAGGTTATTTTTCTATGAAGCTGTTCATACGTGAAGACCTGGCAGTGCGGCTCTGCCAGTGCCGACTGGCACGCTCGCTGATATCACCTTAGCACAACTCTGACTCATCCGAATCAATTCAGTTAATCACCACCTTAATGAGTTCTCGCGGATTATGCGGCAGCTATATTTTCACTCGCAGAGAATGGTTGAGCGGCTCGGGATTACATCGGACACTTCGAGATTGCTATCGTATATGATTAATTCCAAGACAATAAGCACGGTGCGACACAACGCAGTAACTCCGTGCTTGCACACGTGCCAGAAGATGTTCGACGCAACCCATGTCGCTCGCCCAAAACCGACCAAAGTAGCTCATCATTAAGATCTTCAATCAATAAACACTAGTCGCGACCTCGGATACTTGGTTGCGTTCAGTCGGGAACATCGCGCTGTTGCAGGCAGTTATGCAGGTACAAATCATAAGTCCGGGACAATTGATCAGAACTTGTGCGCTCAGAGCTTCATGGGCGAGCGAAGGCCCTCCGTAAGGATTGCACCACTTCGGTGAAAAAGTGAATTCACTCTCCACTATATCACCTTAGGGTTTCCGAATATCCCACAAGAGGGAGTTATTCTCCTCCTGGGGGATATTCGATCCCAGAAACGAACTGCCCTGCGCATCACATTCATTACTCCCGGAGGAATACTCCGACGTAATGGCGGAGCTATCCTGCGTCTTGAGATTCCCAGAGTAAGGTGACCCTCTTAAGGTCGTCAAGGTTACAAACTTTAAGCTAGTTTGTGACGTGAAGGGTCTTCGTAACCTAGTGTGACGGGTCTTCGCAACCTTTGTGAGCTTATGACTCAAACGCATAAGTTATGAGTACAGATCTTGGTCGATGCGGTGTTAACAGCGTAAAAGTCAAGTTTCAGCGTTCTCGTCTTCACGAAGACTATAAAAATGAAACTCTTCTGCGTCCTTTACTTCATCATCGCGCTCGGCCACATCATTGTTGGTGACCTCTCGGCTGACAAATCGGAGAGTGGCTTCTCCTCACCTTTGAGGGGCCTCAACGATCCTTGCTGGTCTTGCTGGTCGCCTTGTCGCTGTTCCGGCCACTGTACATGCCCCTAAAAGCATGAGCCACACGTTATGGACGATTCACACCATGTGAATGGTCGTGGTGAGCAGCTCACCGTGAGCAGTAATTCTATTTTTGTCCCCTTTCTAAGAATACTCAACGAATATTCTCTTGAGGAGTAGGATTCTGGACGAGGTGGATCATCAACATTCTAGCAGTTCTGGTCTACAGATGTCTCTTGTACTACTATCCTTCTGTGTATTATATTCATCTTGATTTGTGATAGATGTCTTGCCG